CTTACTTTCCTAGCCTCCACAGGCAGTATTATGGCTAAATTTCCTCTAATTGTTTATAGTAGAACTTTAAAGCATAAAAGGGGAGAAAAATAAAGACAGAAAAACACCCAGAAGAGGTTCAGCAGAAAGCAAACCCCAGAAACCCTGGAAATCTGCTTGGTCTCCCTTCTCACAAGCATTCCCAATCCTTCCCCATTGTCACTGCATTCCACAGCACAGCAGAAGTCCAGCTTGTGGGTAAATATCTCATAATATAACAGTTACATTTAGAGCAGCACATAGAGCAGGGAAAGATTGCACTGTAGGACTGAGAAGTCTTTTTGGGAGGCTTGTTTTGTTTTATTATACGGGGCACTCCTGTTTCCAATGACCTTGTTGCCCATGATAATTACAATAGTTTACAACAGTCTTCTGTTCCTGGAGCCAATGAATTATTAGACTAGGCCCATGATTTTTTCTGTATTCCCAATATTGGCTTACTGTCTTCTCTTGTCTGATCTGAACATTTGTGAATGGAAGCACAGAGCCTCAGTCTGCTCCCTTCTGTGTAGCCACTCTTCTTTTCTGGTTCCCAGGGTCAAAATGGGAGCTTGGTACATCCTTCTTACAGCCTGAAGCAAGATGGTCATTCACTTATCTTCCTTACCCCTTTTTCACAATAACCCACCCTCACTGCTACCCTCCCTCCCAGCATGGACTTGTTCACAGGATGCAATCAGAGAGGTACCAGGAGCTGCGTAGGACACAGCTGCTCCATAATCCAGAATTCAGGTGAGGAAAAGACTTGAGTGAAAGCAAGTAGGGCCAAATGCTAATTAGCAGGCACTGGAGTATGCAGATCTAAAGGTATACATCTGAGCCTTACATTTCTCAGTCTGTAAAAACAGCACTGAAATACTTCCCTATTTCTCAAGACAGTAACTAGGGTTAATAAATTAATGCTCACCTATCACCATACTGTCAGAAAAACACTCTTCCAAAATCAACACGTTTTCAAATATTTCAGTTGATGACAGTATTTTATAAACAACAGACTATAAATGGCAGCTAATAACCTCAAGATGATCACCGTAAGATTAATCTAATATTGCAAAATCTTTCAGCCTAAGTATTCATTTCCCCTGTTGCATTTCTGTTGAGGCAGTTGGGCTCAGCAGCCACATTTGCTTTCTCAGCATTACTTGCCAGAGTACACAACAGTACAGGTGGAAAGAACACAGCAAGAGTGAGATGTAATCACCAAAGAAATGGAGCAACAGACTTAAGAAGAGCATGGCTCTCACAGCAGGTCAGCTGAAGTGGCAGCTGTGCATTTCTGGGCTAGTACCAAGTGTCCACTACCACCTTACAAGAGCATTGTGGCTTTAGATTTTATCCCAATTGACTGAAATACACACAGATTTTCTAACAGTACCTTTGCTTTTCAGAGAGTACTGGTTCTGCTCCAGCACAGGACAAACTTTCTCCAATACTTAATTTTTCTACCCCCTAAGGCTCAAACAAGAGATTTATAGAGAATCTTTGTGTGCTGCCCTTCACACTTGTGTTCAAGTCTTCCCTGCTTAATGAGCCATGGGCTGTTGCTCTGAAACAGAGGACATTAACAGTTCAGAAAAAATAAACCCCTGCAGATTAATCACCTGCCTTCTTCATGGGCCCAAATCCAATCAGCAGACAGTGTGAAAGCAGAGTATCTTCATGTACACTGCCTGGCTGATAAGCATATTAGCTGATCACTAGACCTGGATTTGACAAGCATATAGCACGAGTCTTATTTCATTGTTTATTTCAAATGAATACCAGAGGTCTCCAAATGTCATTATATTCACAGAGACTAACAATGTGCAGCCATTTCATGATTCTCCTAGTATTCCCTGCTTCCCATGCCAGTGAAATAGTATCTATTTCATGCTTCTTGATTTTTAAAGTGAATGTTATATTGCTTTCTGAACAGCACTTAACTGCTAGGCATCATTTCTGAGTCCACCATGCAGTAATCCCTGCAAACACAAGAACCTGAATCCATCTTGAGAACAACACTTTGCTAGAAACTGGCCACAGACTAAGGGTATTCCTGCTCCTTGTTAAATCACTAGTAGCTTTATTGTTACTTAGTCTGACCACTGCATCTGAGTACAGGAGGGATAGTACGAAATAGAAACGGGATTAAGTGTTGGCCAAAAGGATGGCAAACCCATCAAAAGCCCTTTGCCAAACCTCAAACATAGCATAGGCAGGACACAGTGCCTAATTTTCTGGAAAGAAAAGAGAAAAGAAACAGCTAAACAATCAGTTGTGCTGTCAGCAAAATTTCCTCCATTCCACTGCAAAGTAATCTCAGAAAAGACAAATGGGATATGGCACTAAACAGTTAAACAGACTTGAACTCCTTCAATTTATGTAATGACAATACCCTTCCATCACCATAACCCACCTCTTCACCCCTGCCCGCCCCAGCTCTCCATGGTTCGAGAGACTTTTTGAACAGAGTGATTCTAGCATAACATGAAGGAAATACCAGCTTTATCTTTTGATCATTTCTTACTCATCTCCTTTCTCTTGTTGGGTCAAATCTCAGTCTCACTAAACTCCTGATTTAGCCTATTAGCAGGTAACAGTGAACCCTCATCCTCATTTCACGTTTCCCATGTTTCCAATTTTATAGCCCTTAGAGGCTACAGGAGTGTGCTGCTTTGATTGCCTTTACCTTAACCTTCCTACAGGTCATGCAGGTCAGTGGCATACCTGGAATAAACTGGGACTGTTATTTCAACCATCAGTCACTCTTCAGCTGGAAGGCAGAGTCCCTTTAGCAGGGAGACTGAAGTGCTGCAGAGCAAAGCAGAGGACAGGAGTGTCTTTGATGGTAACTGTGTGCTTCAGCTCCCACCGGTTAACAGGTATCCATGGGCACCGCTGTTCCCCTGGCTCTGTTTCCATTTGAACGTGTTTTGTTGCTATTGGAGCATTTCAGTAAACAGGACCCAGCGCAGAGTGTCCCTGCTCTGTGACCATTCACCACAGGCTAGATCCTCCGCAGATTAAAAGTCAAAAAAGCTGTGGTGTTTTCCTGAGCTGAGGATTTGGCACTATATTATTAATGGTCCTCTGCCATCAAGCAGGACTCTTTTCAGGCAAGACACTGAACAGCATTTGATTAAGACCTCTGTGAATGGAGCATGCACAGCACCACAAATTCCCAGAAATGGTCCTGTACAAGGAACCACCTGGATGCTACAAAAAGAGCCATGTGCAGAGACCCTTTAAATACAATGGCACTCCAAACTGGAAATCTTTGTAACCCTTCAGTGTCTGTTGGGGTCACAAGCCCTGGAGCTGGGCACATTAATTCACCACGTCTTCAGAGCCAAAAACACTGCTGAGAGGGATGCAAACATGTTTGCTTTACGATGACTCATAAAGACTCTGCCTGGAGTCTCCCAAACAAGCCTTCCCTTTCCTTTAGTGGCACATGAACAGTGCACACTACATGCTTTAAATGGGATTCAAGTCACTTTTTCATTGCTACTAGAGCAGGTACTGCTGGAGATAAAAGCAACTGTCTCAGAAGAGCAGGTATGACATGTGGTACATAGCACCAAAAATAAATCTTTAACTTCCTCTCATACCTGCCAAACCCACTCCAAGGAAATAAGCTTGGGAAATATTACAAATACACACTTCTCTCTGATTTCAAAGGAAGAACTGACCTATTTTCTCTTTGCCCATTTTAAACATTTCCTATGAGAAGATCAGTTTGCTAAAACAATAGTCTATGTTTGGAATAACCACAATTATAAAGAAAACTGCATGCATCTGAAAAGGGCCAGTGGCCTGATGTTTGCATCGGAGGTAATTCACACTAATATCACTATTTATAGTGCAGCAGCACCTCAGGGACCCAGTCATGCTCAGCACACCTACTTGGTACACACTATACAAACATGAAATCTGATAGTCTCTCCCCTGTAGTATACTCATCATACCTGTGATTTATGGAAAATGGTTGTGTAATGCCATATAATTTCAGAGTGGTCCTTTGTGAAATTATTTTCTCATGTCATATTTGTGTAGTAAATACTTTCCATATCCTTTCAATAGCTGAGCTGGCTTACAAGAAACAAAAGATTCATGTATTGGCAAAGATGACCTACTTAAATCAGGAACAATTAAAGACCCAGTTCCTATTTACAAGCTTGCATAAGGAACCACACACACACATACACGCACACACACACACACACACACACACACACACATATCAAACTGAAGATGCCAGGAAATGTTTCTCAGTGCTACAATTCTGGTCATACAGGAGGGTCTAAGGCAGGGGGGAACAAAAAAGGAAGTGCTTGTGATTCATTATTAGCAATGTAAATAGGACACATTTGGAAGCTGTCATCATCCTGATTGCTCATCTGCTTTTATTAGTCCTCATTCTTTATTCTCATTGTCTGGTTTTCTGCGCTTGTCATTAAAGTTAGTTATGTTATAGGCATCTGTTTAGCATATTCTATATGAAAATGCAAATGGAAATAAAAAACACCAGTAAAATAAATATATGCAGCTTCCCTGTCATGTATATATTTGACTGTTGCATGTCAAATACAAAATAATTATCACTTCATAAGTCTGTGTGTTCATTATGTGCATTACTGTTTTACCAGCAGATGGCAGTTTACTATTACTTCAAAAAAGTTACTTTGTTAATGTCAGATATTTTAAAGTTTGAAGTGGTTGGTAAAAAGCTTCGAGCTCATTTCAAAGCTAATTTTTAATTCAATTTCCTTCTGCATCATCCCCTCTAGAAAACGTAATCAGGACAGAGCTATTTGCTTCAGTTTACAGTCATACTGTTGACCAAGGCTAAACACTATCTACACAGTTATCTGACAGTAAGTTCATGCAGCACCAGTGGGTATTATCCAGCCTCAAACACTCACTGCTGCTACCAGCCCCTTGAGGCACACTTTACATTCCCCAATTCCCAGTCTATGCTTGGGAAATTGCACACAACATTATTAACACTAGTAGCAAGGGCAACACAAGGGACGTGACTGTAGAAAGAGGCCAGTGGTTTATTTACTGCTATGTTGCTTTGACACTGTCTGAATTTTAGGTAACAAAGAGTTAAAACTACCATCCGGGCAATGCTGGCTGCCTCCTGCACTGCAGCCGAGGAGGGCCAAGGGCGAAGGGATTCTGTGCCAGGAGATGCAGCCTGCAGGGGCTTTCAGAATTCCTGCTGCTGCCCAAGGCCATCCTTTAACCCAGTCAGAGCTGCAACTATGAGCCCATCTGCCCCTGTCTAACACAGGGCTGAGAATGAGAGCTTTCCTAGTGAAAACACTCCAGCAGGGAGCACAAGCAAAATGAAGGGATGGGTCTGTCAGTCCAATGCTGCTTTAACACATGGGCACAGATTTACTCTGGGCATCAACTGACATGTACAGACCTCACAGGCACAGCAGTGCCATCTACATCCTAAAACCAGGCACCAGGAAGAGACTCGTGCACCTAGAGCCTCACTCTTCACTGACCCTGTGATGATATTGCTCAGTCTGTGTCAACCCATCTTCCCTTCCTGCCCCAGCAACTCCCTCCTTTGTGTCAATACTGGTATTCAGGTTGGCCTGATGAGGCAGTGTGGAGCTTGCAGTTGGATCTGTTCCCTCATCCAACTCGGCCACCCACCTCAGCACACAAATGCCCCTTTTGTCTGTACCAGCCACAGAGATCAGGGCTGGATTAAAGCAATCGCATGACTCCTGGCTTCTCACAGAAGCAGAACTCCTCTCCCCTTACACCACAGGTGTGCCAGCTTGGCCTTTCACTCTTGGTGGTATTTCAGGCACACATCCATTTCTGCCAGCTCTACAGCCACTGAGCACAATGGTGAGTTGAAACAAATTGTAGAGAGGGTGGGAAGGAGGAAAGGACTTCCCCCAACTGCCCACAGGCTGGGGACGGACTGGTTTTGTGGCTGGGCTCAGATTTTGTTAATTTGGTTTTTTGCTTTGCTTACATGGCAAACTGCCCTTTCCCTAGGGCTGCACAGGTCCTTTCTAGTCCTGCAACTTTTGAATTTGTGTTCCTTCTATTCTCACACTGAAGTAGCAAACAAGGGATCCAGAGATCACTCTGCACCTAAGTACTAAACAAAGCTAAAAGCTCCAAAACAAAGAGTACTGATACACACCAGTGTGTAACCTATCCTGGGAATGCAGTGTTTTCTTTTACAAGCAGTCCCACATAGCCTGTTTTTAATGATCTGCATAGAGAGACAAATTCACCAGTGGTATTAAATTAGAAGTGGAAAACAACAGAGACAGTAGATGCATTATACAAATGGGAAAGAGAGATGAAAAACACAGGAATGAGAAAGGAAATGTAACAACATTTGGGAAAAACAGGAGAGCATTGCAGTGTGGGGAACAATAGGACATGTATACATGGTATCGGGCACAGATTGACCGGGGGACATTAAAAATGTATCAAGAGGAACAGCTCAGCAGTAAGAGGGGAAAGACTTTTCTCTCCAATGCTGAAGATTCCTGACGATGTAGGACACTGGATACCCATTGTGGTGATGTCCTCATGGGTAGAGCTATAAAATAACATTGATATAGTTCCAAAGCCTTTTGCTAGAACAAATAGCAAATGGAAGTATTTAAGAATCACATAATGACTTTTGACAATTCCTAAACGATCACATAACCAGAAAATACATGCTGATCAACCTTTGTTTCTCATGTGGACAACTGCATAAACAAAGCACATGTCCATGTGAACCTGACACCATCCTATCAACTTTTGTTTCCATTTGAGAAATACTTTAAATAACATTCAAAGCAGGTTTAACATCAGTTATTACTCTGTTTGGTTACTGCATTCTTAAGAAAATGGACTTCAAAATTGTATTTTCTAGTTGAAGATTAAAGAGCTACTTCTGGGCTTTTTACCTTCTTTAATAAAGTAAGATTCCATCTAGTCTCAGAAGCTGAACATTAATATAGACAAGATTTGCTGTCGTCTTAGTAAGTGTTAGCAGCAAACATTTAGCATTTCCATTACTTTCCTACCCAAACTTCACCTACTCACATTGAGAAGCAAACTGGATTTCTGATACCCACATCACCTTCATCTTGCACTCAGGGATACCTGCCACTGTTGGACCCCAGCTTTTCTACTCTGCTTCACAAAGTAAAAGCAGGTTTGTGCCTCAGGGCAGAAAGAGGGCAACTTTTCATGCCTGTGATGCACAGGTATCCTGCTGACCTTCTAAGCAGCCTGCTTCCCCTCCAGGGAGGCTGCTGTGAACAGCGGAAAAAGCTGCTGGCTCACCGCATGGCCAACATGCAAAGAGCAGCCACCACATTTGATGCTGTGGGATACACTTGGGATTGGAAAGCAACACACATTACTTCAGAGTGCAAGGAAAGAAGGGAATCTTTTAATTGCACCTCAACAAGCAGTGAAGTCCATTCAGCTAGCCTTGCACTTCTTGTATACACATCACCTTCATACTGCAGGCAGGATCACAGCACTTGCCTATAACTACAGCATCGTCCTCAGAAATGGGTGGAAGGAAGAGGGAGAGACAAGACATCTCTCAGCAAGGGGCAGAGCTGGGCCCTCTTGTTCTCACCTTGCAGAGCCATGAACAGGTTAGCTCCTGGCCCCACTGACACAGAAAAGAGAGGGAAAATCCCACATCCTGCTGAGAATCCAGAGCAAAACTATGCCCTGTGAATTTTGTCTGACTTACGGCATTTCCTAAATCAGGTTTGATTGCCAAACAACACAGGACAAAGGATCTCTTAATTCCCCAGAATCTGTCCCAAAGGCTGAGCACTCTTAGTGCTCCTAGTCTTGTGCACCGACTCATATTAAATCAGTTGCAGGACTCAGCCTAGGTTTGCCACACTTCCTCCAGCACACTGCATTGTGAGAAAGGATGAGTCGCAATCTGAGGCTAAAGCCAGGATATGCATTCCCTTCCTCCACTTTCCCCAGGCTTTATACCTAAAGCAGAGCGGCAACTAGGTGACTTATCTGCTTTCAGCACCTTCTATATTTTTCAGTTTCCTGTCAGGGCACAGAGAAGCCATAATGCTGAAGAACTACATTATCTTACTTTGCATTAGTTTTTCCACCTCCCTCTGTGAATCACCATGCCAAAATCTCTGCTGTTTGAGTGATATGGAAAGCAGGAGATGAAGGCTCAAAACCTGCAATTTTGTCTACAATACGCAGCAAATAGAGACTAATCAGAAATTAATATTTATGAGCTATGTTCTTCTAATATGATTCCTTCTGCCCCCAAATGTCACTGTAGTGTCCCTTAAAAGACAAGAAGGGGTGAGGTGAAGTCTCTTAATATAGAAACACAGCAGAAACCCATGTGGGGAGCAGCACAGACTGGAGGCTGACAGGACTTGGCTCTACAGAGATGCCGGCCAGCAGGACAGGGACAGCGGAGCCCACGGACAGGAGAGCTTCAAGACATTAAATACCTGGTGGCTGAGAGCTGGTGCAGCTATGCAATAACCAAGAAGGGTTTGTCTTCATGTGCTGAGCAGGGCTGTGGGCTCCTTCCTGGCAGAGGCGGACGTGGGCTCGTCACGTGCAGCGGTGTCCCTGGAGCCCCGCTTCCTGCAGCGTGCTCTGCAGAGGGCAGCAGCTCAGAGGCGCAGAAGCTGGAGCCAGCGGGAAAGAAAAGCCTGTCTTACAACTTATCTCACTGTGAGGATGTCCCTGAGCAACATCCCTGCCTTTGTCCAGTTGTTTCTGGGTAGAACTAAGTCCTAGAAATGAGTGTCCCAAACCTGGCACCACAAAGCGGAGCTTCCATGTAACTGGATGCAAAAAAAAATTGCACCACAATGTTACAACAAAGTTGGGAATTAAACAGACAGCAGAAATTCAGGATTTGACTGTGTGTATATAGGAGGCCATGTCCCCTCAGAAGTCAAGGGATGACTAAAACCAGGAACAAAGTAAGGCCTGAGCACCCAGAGAATACCATCCAGCAAACAGCTAAAAAAAACCCATTAGAGTTAAACCCCTTTTCACCTCCTAACAGCATGTAAACACATTAACACCAAACTTAGACAGAACTATTGGTTTCTCTAAGAACCTGTGTTTTTAGTCCAGCATCTGAGGAGATCTTTGGACAAGCTCTGCACTGCTACATACCCTGCATTTCTACTTGGCTGGGGGGTGTGGGGCAAACACAAGACCAATTCTTCAGCCAAGACTCATCTACTGTGGTAAATACAATGAATTAAGAATACACTCACTATGTCAGTGGGTCATATAAATTAGAAGTGTTGCAAGGCTTAATAACAAAAGAAATGGCAAGATATACTGAGTTTCATTTAGAGCTTGTATATTGAAAGTAAGGATCTTTACCCAGGAGTGAATTTTACTCAATGAAACTCAAATTTTAAGTAAATGCAAATAGCCTACACTGAAAATGTGAAAAATAAACACAGTATCATTTAATTTAATTTGAGCACCCAAGCAAGTCATTCGCAAGTCTGTTTAATGTTTAGGAAGAAAAAGCCTTAGTTCGGTCTTTACAAATGGTTTTAGTTACTTCTCTGACTTTCCATCTCTTGAGGATAATCTACTCCTAATAAGGACAATTGCTCAGATTTATTACCCCACTGAGGTCTTGTTAAAGATCTAACAAAAATCCTATTTAAATGAAAAGGACAATAGAATCTTTAAAGTCAGTGTAGAGTTTAATTAAAACCTGAAACAGAATCAATGTCTTTATGCATTAGAAAAGCAAAAACAGATTTTGAAGCCGTTAAACTACATGTAATTGGCATAAACTATCCATTGAGCCAAAGCAGAAAAAAAAAGGCACACTATCATATGGAAATTGGAGTCTATTAATAAATAACAAACCTGATACATGTGCATAACACCATATTTTTGCATGCATTTTTTTATTTGCCTAATTTGCTAAGCATATCTTAGAGCAAACACGAGACACACTAGCTGTTAAGTTGAACAAATCCAAAAGGGACAAAAAGAGACTGATTGAAATCAATGCATTAACATGCACCAGCATTTAAAAACGTTTCATAATGTTCCCAAAGAGAGCATGTAAACTGCAGAAGTCTCAGTGCAAAACTGCTGTAATCTGTGTTCCCACGTAGTCATTATTCATACATGGGAGTATACAGTTCCTACAGTCATTTTTCATGCATGAATAGTTTAAAACCCAAAATCACTGACATAAACACACAAGGGAGACATCTCTTTTGAAAGTTAACATCTCGAGAGCTCTGGAAAGGAATATGAAGCCAGATACCGGTCCATGTGCTGACACGTCTCTCCTGTAGGGAAGGGTCTGTGTGCAGAGCCCCACTGTGACCGCAGGCACACCCAAACCTTCCCCAGCCCCAGAGTCAGCACCAGCCACTTGGTCGCCAGCTGCAGAGCCAAACGCAGCAAAGTCTGGACAGCACAGAGCAGAGCAAAGCCAAGACTTAACACTTCTCCCTTCCCCCCATCGGCATGCAACTAGGGACAGCATGTAGGGAAGGGAGGTCGGCCCAACGGCTTCTTTGGACACAGTTTCCTTTTCAGGAGAAAATAAATTCTGAGACAAAAACACCAAAACAAACCCATAACCTACTTCTGCATTAAGGAAAAAGCACTTTTCCTTCTCTTCTTTCCCACATGATGAAGGGTGATGGGCTGGCTGGGAGTGGGCAGACACGCAGATGGGCTCGGTGCAGAGAAAAGCACACCAGGACACTCCATGCAGCGGCAGCTGGAACATGGTACTCCAGCCTGGCCTTCCCCTCTGGCTGGCCCAGTTTGCACCCGAGAGCTACAAAGCAAAGCGGTCATGACGGAACTGCAGTGCTGGGGTGGGTCACACGACTCTGGAAAATTCCAGAGAGGATGATATACCACCTTCCCTCTGCAGCAGGTCAGTCCCTTGTTAACGATTTAATCAGTTTTGTTAGAATACATTGGAAGGCCATAAAAGCAGTCACCTTACTTAGGCTTCTCTCCATTTAAAATTACAGTTCTTGCCAGTGCTATAGTATAGTCGGTACCTTTGCTTTCAAACTGCATTTTTGCACGACCGTTCAGTATTTAGGGCTCCTTTTTTTAAGGCCAGAAACACGTGCCCGAGGCAAGGCAGGGTGGTCCCTTCGGGGCGCGGGCAGGCGGCGGTGGCGACCGGGTCCCTGCGCCGGGTCTGTGTCACCCGCCCAGCACCGCCGAGCCCCGAGAGCCCTTTGGACAAGCACCGTGCAACACCACGCACGGGGCGGGTGCGGCACAAGCTGTGCGGTACCTCGGACTCACCTTGCACCCGGTGCCAGCACCGAGGGGGAGCGCGCGGTAACACGCAGTGTCACCGGCCAAGGCACCCGAGCGCGGCACCCGCCCGCCCCCGGCAAAGGGCCGCGGCCCCGCACCGCCCGCCGGCCCCGTCGCGGGACAGGGGGTCTGCGGGGACCGGGCGCGGCCGGGCCGCTGTAACGAGCCCCGGTAACGAGCCCCGGTAACGAGCCCCCCGCGCACGGCCCCGCGGGGCCCCCCCGGCGCTGCGCTGGGGCCGCGGAGCAGCCGCGGGAGCGCAGGGAACGAGGGCTCGTCCCGCGCGGCTCCTGCGCGGCCGGTGGGCCAGTCCCGAGTGCGCCTCAGGCCGGCGATTGTGAGCGCGGTAACGGAGAGGAAATGTCCGATGTGAGGCCTGTGTGAAAGACATATTAAAACACTTGGTGTGCGGTGCATCCTGGGGGTTGTATTCCTCAATGACCTTTTTAAAGAAATATATTCTGCAGTCTCTTGTCAGAGTATGTGGGAAGACACAGCTGTTTACAGATGTCAGCCAGTGTTTGGGATTCTATTACCCATTCCACTTGGTGGCAAACAGCCCCTCATTTCCCATTCCACCCACACAGGAACTGGAAATGTAAATTTCGTGCTGCTCTTTTTTTTAGCTCTTTCACTGGAGATAGAAACCCCAGTGCAGTTTCAAGGCAATGAGGAAGGGTGTGAAGCTGGATGAAATCTTGGAGCATGCCAAGCACTTTCAACCACCTTTATAGCTAACAAGCAGATCTACATCTTGGCGAGTTATGACTAAGCTCCAAATAAAAAATACAATTGGAAAATACATTAATCTCTGCCAATGGCAATTTCAAGCAGGATTTTTAGGATCTCTGCTTCATTAATGTTATGTAGTTCACTTGTCACATACATGAAACAAAGGCTATTTTCCAAATCAGGAATGAGTGAAATACAGCTGTGGAAGGTAACATTTTAGGCTGGTTTGCTCTTTGCACACATGCACTTTTTCATGCAACAACAGCATTGCCAAGAGATAAGAGACAGGCTTCTCAAAAAGAAAGGGGGTGGCAGTGGTGTGGAGATTACTCACACATTTCTTTTAGCTAATTTCACATAAACCATCCTACAAAGCAACTGGACTGGCACAACAGCTGAGTGGCACAGGGCAGGAGGGGAGCTCAGCAGCATCAACGAACTTCTGCCAGAACGTGCTTAACACAGAATTACACTCTGAGTATTTTCATTACTGATTAGGTTCCCATGTCTTCACAAGCACATTCCAGTCATACTAACTTCCAAAAATATCTGGCCAGTCAGCACAACCTTGTCTAGCAATAGAAAAGATGGCATCTGGATAAAGTTTGTCAGCAGGGGAGAAAGGGAAAAATACAGGCAGTGAAGGTGAGGAATGTCCATAACTTAACATTGCTCCAGAAGCCTCAGTGCTTCATGTAAGCAAACAGGTGGCTCCTAAAACTGTGCCTCTGAAGGAGGCAATACTTTGTGCAGCGTTTTTTCTCCTGCGTTTCTTATTAGTTACAAGATCTCACAAATTAAAACTCTTAGAACAGATGCCCCACTCCCACATTAAAAGTTATGGGAGGGACTTCTTAATAAAAACACATCTATCACAGGCTTCATTAGTAAACTTATCTTGTTAGGGTAGTGGATTGTTGCCCTTGTCCTGGGGAGATTGCCCTGAGGAGCCTGATTCTGAACATGTGGCTCCTCTGTGATCCAGAGATCTTCTCCCTGATCCAGAGCCCTGGGGACTCTCCTTGTAGGCCTGTAGCATAATGTTTCCAGGTCTGACACCAGCTCTACCTATGGGTGCAGTCATAGATTTTTCAGTGAATACTTACACAGCTACAGCACCTGACACAGTATCTTCCCAATATAAAGGGTATGGAGGAACACAGATAAAGTACTTCCTTCTGTGCATCATCCAACTCCAGTAAAGGAAAGAATTTCTCACAGGGCTTAAGGAAGCAAAAGGTGTGGCCTACAACTAACTGGGGCCACAAAAATAAACATTTTGATAATTACCTCAATGGAGAGGTAAATGTTTCAGTGCTAACACCTGAAAGCTTGAAATTGTTTTTTTTTTTAAATTATTTTAAAATCAGCCTCACAGCAGCAGAAAATATATTGCTACTTTGGACAGTGTTAATGCAGACTAAATCCAGTCAATAGCATTAAGTCAAGAGTTACTCATAAATTCTTGTGCTCCTCAGATCTGCTCTTCCAGAAGAAAAGCACTTTAAGAATGCAACAGATGTTTTGCTTTTGAGCGCATCTCAGTAGAGCTCATGTACACCTGAGCGAGCAGGAGTTCACTCGAGTGAACAGACCTGTCCCACATCTGTTACAACTTACCCATTTGCAGGACCAGCACTCAGTCACCTCTGTAAAGCTAAACCCAACCCAACAAAACTAGAAAGAAGCAATGTTTAGAGTAGTTAGCTCTTTTTCATCCTATCCACAAAGACCTTGAATTAGCAACTGTGTTTAGGTAAATGCTTTTGCTTTTGACAAGCAAACCCACAGAATCCAGATTTCTAAAGGCAGGTGTTATGAAAATGGCAGGATAGAATTTTCTTTAAATCATGAGAATTCTGATCTGTTGGAGAGCTAGATTAAATAAAAAAGCTTGAAAATTAATCTTCTCATTGTGTCACTGCAGGGTAAATATTTTTTTCCAGTCTTACTTCCAATCTGAAAATTTCCAGAATGGTTCACAGAGCACCCCATCACCACAGCCTGCTCAATTAAACTTTCTTTTCTCCTGTCACTTCTAAAGCTTGACTCTGTCCCACAAGCAAAATCCCAGCTCCTCCATGACACTGCCTACAAGATCTTGGTCACTACATTTCTCTTCTCTACCCAACTTGGGAGCATCAGGTATCCCCATCCCTGAGCACTGCTCAGTTCCTCTCAGAGGAGGAGACATCTGCCCCTTCCCCCCAGTAATCCAGAATGCAGGAGGCAAACGGGCGCCCTCCTTGTAGCCTTCTTCGCACCTGCAAAAGCCACAGTAAGAGTATAAAAGGCAGTACACTCCTGCAGTGAGCTAAATGTTCACCACTCACACAAGCAGGGAAAAGACAGGACATGGTTAACATGAGGAACAACTGAGGAGAGACGTGGATTTTTCTTTGAGACAATCCTTTTTGTTTACACACACTGTAGAAAAGTCAAGTTTTCTTGAGCATAGTTGTTTTTAAAAAACAGGAGGCATTTTCTTTGCTCAGAATTCAAAGAGGCACACAACTGCACTAAGCATGAACATGCTTTTTGTATTTTATTAAGAAAGCTGCTTCTACTGCCACTATGACTAGTCGTATCTTACTGTCACCTTTCCCCAGTTACTCACTAGTTCTGCATGAACATGCAGATACACCCATCTACTAAAACAAAATGCAACAAAGCCTCTACCCAACTCTGGATCTGCTTAAACTGACAGTAAAGCCACATGTTACACTAGGAACAACATTTAAGTATTCTCAAGAAAATACAATTAAATAAAACAACAAAACTAGAAAAAAAACCCAGCAAGTTCTATAAGAATGTTCTGACAAGAACTTAATACATAATTTCTTTTCAGGTTACTTTTTGTTTTGCACTACATTTAAATACTGAAGAATGTTGGCAGGAAAAATACATGTTATTCTAGTGTTTCTTTAGGCACTGTAAGAGCCATTCTGCAGCAAAACTTCTGCTGAGGTAGGCTCTGGTGACAGAACGCATTTAGAAACAATGGCCAGATGGTGGCACAGTAAATGCCCTTGCTTTGACGGGCTGTACTTGTCTGTTAGAAATATTCCTTGTTCCATATGCATGTGGAGTATTAGACACATACACTCCTCACACAGAACAACCACCTCCCAAAACACGTCAGTAGAGTATTTACTACCAAATCCAGAAGGAGTTTGTGATTCTAACGCTGTCCCCATTAATGAGAAAAATGTCACTATACAAAAGCTCTTCTTTTTTTTTCCCCTTCTTATCAAATCATTCAAACAGCTGATAACTAGCTTTTATGGATTGGAGAGTCAGATAGAATTCTGAATCTATTATTTTACTAAAACCCCAGGGGTCAACTTATCACCTAAAAACCATTTTACATGGACAATTTGACTTTCATGTGGAGTGTCAGAACACACCCTAGATGGAAATCTAAAATAAATTATATGGAATACTGCCTTCTTTGTGCTGAAATTTATTGGTCCCATACTACAATAATTTTGAAAATTGTATTCCTTAAGCTACAGTGCTGAGATACTATTAACTGCTTGAACTGAAAGAGCGGGTCTGATAGGCTGCTATAAAGTCTATGAACAGAGACTAATTTCTATTGAACCACATGCTTATCTGAAGCTGTTTTCCACCATTCCAAGCTGCCAACTTTATTTTCTTTCAGAATACACTGCCCATTTTTTTACCATCATCCTCAGTATGCACTGTCACTTCAGTAAAACCATTCCAGAAGCCAAGAATGCATCTAAGCTTCTGCTAATATGG